TATAATACCACCGTCGACGACTGTTTTTTTTTTCATTCTCGCCGTTGGTATCGCTTATAAATTTCGACAAAACTTTACGTTCCACTCGAACTTAACAATATAATATTGTATAATATTATGACGAGCGTGTAATATTAAATGACGTTTTTCAAATCACGCGATCAGTCAAAGCGCTCTTCACGCTCGCACCTCGAACTTTTCCGGCGCGACAGGGTGGGATGACGCACGCGCGCTGTCCATTGTCAACGGCCGCGGCCGCCTTCGACGCCGTTGCGGGGGGAGTGACTTTCGTTCAGTCGTCTCGCGGCCGGCTCCGTAACTTTTCGCCAGGCCGGGTCCGCGGTATACGCGCATCGTCACGCCGCCCAAGCCCCGCCCAGACGCGGTGGTACCGTCGAAATGTTCGTGTACCGCTGCGGTGTTAAGCCCGGCCCTCTTCCCCGCCGCCGCGGTACTCCGGCCGTGTTTTACGCGCAGTCGCCGTGTATACTACACTTATATATCACATTATTATTATTATTATTACATACCTTCTATTATTCTAAAAAAATGTATTCCATTTATTTCTGTTCTATTCTCACGTCGTCGACTCATAAGCGGCGAGTGGGGTGGTGGGTGGGGGCTGGCGTATTATATTCGTCTCGCCTATTACACACGTCATTGCGTTTCGCCCGTACCTATACAACCCCACTCACGACCTGACCATCGCTCCCGCCGTTCGGCTTACCGCTTTTTACAATATACTTTGGACGGACACGCATAGTTATATTCTCCGATTTTCCACGGTCCGCCGCCGTCCTCGAAAATCATTCGTAATACTCGCTACTGCACGCGCGTATATATAATGCATGGGCACGTATTGTAGAGTGTACCAAGACGACGACGGTATATTATGTATAATATTATAAATAATGATATCGCGAACGCGAATCGTCGCTCCTGTACATAATATATAGCTCTTATATACCACGGTATAATACGTCCACTCTCGCAATGTAGGTACGCATACCTATCTACGACGTCCTCGTACAAAGGCAACGAAATTCGGTTTAACGTCGTGTATACGACGACATCGTTTTCTATAATGTTTAGAAGATATAATAACATGGTATAATAATATATTATATTATTATATCGTTGTGATGTGCCCGCAAGTTTCCTGCCGAGTCGTGACGAATAATAATATACGAGTCGCGCGGGGGACGGCGAGGAGTAGGAGGCGGAGGAGGAGGTGTACGCAGCAGCAGCGGAGAGATGGATTGCCGAGCGAGAGCTTGTGAATATACCTATACAAGCGCGAGCGCGCGCGCGCGTATACATGCGTTACGTGGGCGGCGGACGTGGTGGCACGCACGCCCGGACCGCGTGGCAGCCGCCGCAACGCCGCTGACCGGCCGGCACGCAACCCGTTGTCGTCGTCGTCGTCGTCGTGTATAGGCCATGTCTTCGTGCGCCAACACCAGACACACTGCGCTCACACACACACATACACGACTTTATACACAGAACCCCGCACGACGACGTGCATTTTTTCCCCATACGACGCAAAAACGCGTCTCGTAATAATAATAATAATAATAACGCGATTAATACGGCGGTCTAGCGTGCGTGTTCATGGGTTAGGATGATTGTTTGAACGACGGCAAAAGAGAGGTTCACGCGATCGTCGGTGGAAAATATTCAAAATCGCGCACGCAGACTTATTTTTACGTTTCATTTAATATAATATATATTAGGTATATAATATAAAGTATATAGTTGCGCACATATTACGTATTATTACTATTACTGCATTACGAGCGTATTTTATATCTACGAAAAACGAGATGACATGTAGCAGCAACAAATTTTTTTCTTCTCGAAAACGCGATCGTCGACGTCGTCACGCCGTGCAAATATTGTACACAGTAATAGATCGAGTGTGATTTCCTGCACAGACACGTGCGGCCCTAGGTAGGTACCGGGTACCTACGGAGGAGAGATCTGGTCGTGCGGGGCGGCCGATATTTTTTTACATTTCCTCCACCCCCTCCACCCGTCACACCAGTGAGAATTAACGTGTAACAAATGGCTAGGCCGTCGCACACACTATATATATGCATGACGTTGATGATGATGATGATGACGACGACGTCGGTCCGTTTAGCTTGCGTCTGTGATCGACAACGACGAGACAAATCACTCGATCATTTATCATTTTAATTTTCATTATTATCGCGCGTGAGTGTATGTGTGTGAGCTCGCTCGTCGCGTCGTCACGTACAACAATCGTTTTCGTGCCCCCCGGTCCGCGTCCTGCCACCGATGACCCGAAATAAAATATCTGACAATGGACATGCACTTGGTTATTGTGTTCGCGCGCGCGCGCTTCGTTGTATTTATGTGTAGAGGCCTGCAGGTAGTGTCGGACGACCTTATACGCGATAATTAGTTATATTATATTGTAATGGTGTGGTATTGAGTTCGTTTTTATGCACACTTTAAATGGGAACCTACCAATAATATTATATTATGTAGTAGCCGAGACCGGATACTGTATGTATATTGTTACTGATGACTTACCTGTCCACTACTTCGTATTATTATTCCTGGATAAACAAACACAAAGGGACCAAAAAGTGTTTATACGAGTGTACGATCGTGTGTGCTATATTGAATAGTATTATAAGTATATTGTAATAATACGTCATTGAAGCGTCGTTTAATTAGCACAGTTTAAATAGGGATCTATATGATAATAGCTGCGTCCTGCAGATGCATATATCCTGTTAGAAGAAGTTTAATGTGTTTTTGATCACCTATCACCCCATTCATCGACTATTCATTTTTGACCAAGATATTTTACATGCAATTTCTGAGTAGGATACGGACAGGAAATGTGTCTTGTCATTTGTGCACACGGAACTTAAATGGGTAGGTACCTACAACAGTAAAAGAGACGGATGCCTATTATAAAGGCTGTATAGGTATTATTGATGCTATAAATACTAATATATAGTTTCCAGCTCTTTGTATACACAAATAATAAATAAAGGTATTGTACATTTATTTTATTATATATGCTAATGGCGTTTAAATTATTTAGTGGGCAATTTAAAAGCGGTTATCACTTATATCAACTACCCGTATAATAAACTGCATTAACATTTAGCAGAGATGAATATTCTATTGGAAGTGTATAATGTATTTTTGGTCGTCACACATATTTGAAAACCTATTATGTTCTAAAACGTAACAATTTAATGTAGTTTTTTGGTATGGCGCCAGGATAAGGCACATGTAAAATTTGCCACTACGGGGTAGTTAAATATTTCTATGTTCGTTGTTAATCTACAGTAATTTAGTTCTATACATTGAAGTAGTTACATGTCTCGTATCATGTTTAAATTTTAATTATTTTTAAACCACTCGGTTAATAACGTAACCCCTAACATATTAACTTTTAATCCGTGTGAATATGTGTGCGATGTAAACATATAATAAAAACCCAAAACATAAAATCTTAATTAACACTTTACCTAACTGCCGTCTGCCACAAAAAGGTACTCCTGCACCACCTACCTCGTCATTAGCGTAACAATATGGAGTTCCATGAGAAACTATTTCGGCGCCGCCGCCGTCATACAGCGCATTATTAATCATCTCTGTCTTCGTGTCGTACGGCTCACACATAAGGCTATATGCGCGGTGGCGAAACGCCGATTATTCGAATTATCGGAGCCGCCGCCCTGACGGGCTAACGGATTTGATGCCCGCGGGTATATGCGACGGAAACAATATAATTATACCACCCCCACCCGTTACCATCATCAACAATATATGAGAGTTTAGAGTCCGAAGGAGGTGCAGGTTGATAATATATTATGTGCGTGCACCATATTATATTTAATGCTCTCAATTCAAAAAGTTGTATATAGGTACCTATCTCTAAAATTAAATCTCTTTCAATCTGTTTAGGGTAATACAAATACTATTCGTTAAGTTGGGTCCACTACAGCTATACGTCGTCTGTTGTGGGCCTTTTATCGTACTATTCTGATTGGTCGTTGTAGGTATCATTGAATCATTCCTATAATAAAACTTAAAGAGAACAATATTTTGGAGGGAACCTCATAGGCATTTTTAAAAATATTAACTATTAAAAAAGTTGTGGTTATTTAAAAAAATTAAAAAAAAGAGTTTTTGTGCCTTCAATATCTAGCTGTGTATTTAGATTAATACAAAACCCCTATGAGGTTCCCTCCGAAATATTGTTCTCTTTAAGTTTTATTATAGGTATTTTTACTCTAAAACCACTTTTTGATGCCGATTCGTTTGTTTCCCGTGGACGTAATTTGCTATGTTACGCGTTTGTAAGACGGAGACAACACATGCGGGTGTGGCGTCCTCTTAACCATTATCGATAAGCCCCTAGTTCGAATATCGATTTTCGTTCTTCGTGGGAATTTTGAAGTATTACCACAATACCACGATATCAACCGTACATGCCGTTAAAGTTTGGTACCTATATCATTTTTGTCGTTGTTTTCCTACATATTATAATAGACTTACAATAGTTGCTAGATAGTCGAATTGCATACTCACATAGCCACACAGGGTACAATTATTGACATCAAGATGATACGATCGACCGAATATTATTCATAACTGGCTACACGACTATTATTATTATTAGAGCTTAGAACGGATTAAAAATATGACGTTTGATGGTCATAACAATGTATATTGTTATATTCGTATAAACGTAGTACGACTGTATACCATTACCACCTACCTACTTATAGTGACGTCGTATGACGGCTGATCGAGCGAACTGATTGGTGGTCCGTTCTATGTTGCCGTCCCCACGTTGCCCTCTACGTCTTGTTATTGTTGTTGTTATTGTTGTTGTTATATTGTATAACACTTGTATAACGTATATTATAATTACGAAATACCTATATCATATTATAATAATATGGTAAATGATCAATTTTCTTTAACGTTTTGCACGCACACAGGACGTCCGGGCACTGGGATTTTTCGAGCTGCAAATACTGGAGATCGAAAATTACCGCGGCCAACTGGCTACCGGTGAGTGTTGTGGCAGCGATTCCTCGTCGTCCGCCCAACAGCAATCGTCATCGGCACAGCGCAACACGCTGCAGTGTACCGGCGCACCGCAGTGCAACACCCTATTCCAGGTGTGCTTGCGCGAGTACCAGAGCCGACAACAGCAGCAGCAGCAGCAGCCACCGGGTGGGTCTTCCTCGTCCGTGTTGGCCGGCGGCAGGGTGGTCATTGGCGAAGACGATTCGTCGTCCACGGGTTCCAATCACCACCAAATACCCAACTCGCACCTGCACCACTGCTCCTTCGGTAATGTCACCAGCCCCGTCCTCGGCGGAAATTCGTTTACGCTTGGCGGTGACGCCGCGGCCGCAGTGCCGGACACCATTTCACCCGCGGAAGTTAACAGCCGTGGTGCAGCCGGCGGCAACCTCGCATTACAGTTTACCTTCAGCTGGACCGTTAGTATTATTTTACTTTTTATATTTATTTATTTATAATTCAAACGGACATAATATATTGTTATTATTATTTGCGGGGCTTGTAAGTCAGTGTGCTTTTCCGTAAAAATCTTGCCGAGCTGTATTCATGCAAGGTGACGGTAAACCCGAAATATAGGTACATAGTATACATATTTTAGGTATATACACATACATATACATATTATAGTTAAATTAACGACGTTTTATTTTGATTTTTTTGCATTTCATCAAAATGTTATTGTCTTTCTTCTTAAGATTTTTCGTGCATATTTTAAAACAGTATTTCAAGTATCAACATTTATTACATTTGCAAAATAGTAAAAAAAGTACATAATTAAGCTTCGAAGTGTTTCTTTTGTATTTTAATTAATTCATTATCTGATTGATAACTTTATCTAAAAAATTCATCATTACATTATACATAATCTCACATGTTTAGATGAGTGGAGTGGAGTGGCGTAGATCCACGATCCACTACACCACTCATCTGAACTTTACGAACTTTTAACTTATTAAACGCTCGTCCAAAATTTGATTTTTATAAATCTAAATACTCAAAATTATACTAATTTTTATTTGGTATATGAAATTAAAAAGACATTATAGTGTTGTAAAGACTTAACATTATATAAAAAAAATATTTTCAATAATGTTAATAGTTTTTAAAATGAGTGTTCATTGAAAAAAAAAAAACCATCACCTGTAATAGTATAGACTTTATTAACGTAAGTAATCGGTTTATTTCGATAGTATATTTTTATGTTAGCACGCTTTAATAATGTATCGGTACACTTATCGAAGATGTGGATCCGTCTAATGTGGCCGTAATGATACGTTGTGTACCAGCTATAAGCCATATACATTTATTTTGAAACTCGAATAGAAACGCATTAATATTAATTGGTTTTTTATATTATTCACATAATATACAGGCGGACGATTTCCGGGAAATACTCGAGCTTTGTAGGTAGGTGGTGAAATCGATATTCGACCTCACAAATAGGTTTTATTTATGATCTTATAACACAATATACATTATTATCGTATAGAGCCGTATTGTTGGTATTATTTCTATGCCTACATCGCTCGGTTTCTTAACGAGCGGACTAGAGCCTTTTCAGTTTTAACGGATATGGTACACCTATTCGCACGTATTGTACGCTTTATAATAATACAGAAATATTATTACAATGTATATCCTGCGCATTGACCACCCCGTATAGTATAATCACCAAGTACCGACTTATCGTATATAGGAGATAATAATATTATATCCCCCATTTAAGTCCCGAGAGTATATAGTATTATAATATACTGCAATAATGGCCGATTATAAAATTTCTATTTGGCACTACGCCAACGATATAATAATGTAATATATAGACAAGAACCAATACATCGGACATTTGGGATCTAATGGACGTAACTGTCGACTTGTTGTTAAATATTGTTGTACAATAATACAGTGTTCGTCGCGTTCAAGCCGCGGTACTCTGTATTATTATAATACACTGAGACGTATACAATACATATATATATATATACCTTTATAAAATCGTATGGTATTGTATGGCTATAATATAATGTCTATATATATATTTATGCCGCGAATAGCCACTACCGAACTACTGATACCTATATAATATTATAATATCGTTGTGTATATAATATTATGTACTCGCTTCCGGGCATAATACATCGTTCCCGATAATTTTCATATTATAATATAGCGTGTGCAGTGTTATTAAATTATAATAATATTATTGATATTATACGCGCGCGTTATATATTATTTACTATTATAGACGCGGCGGCGATAACGACGGCAAAACGTTTTTTTTTTTTTATTCGGGGCCGTGGCGTATACACCCCACACACAATATTATTATTACTGCTGCTGCAGCGTTCGCGCCGATCTATTATAATGACCGCGCGGCCACCGTTGTGGTGCCGGTCCGTCCGTCCGTCCGTCGAACGGCTCGTCCGAGCGTGTGCACGCACCGCGGCCGCGGCACAGCACACGCACACGCGCACGCAAGTACACGCGCAAGTAAAACGACCGAGTCGGCGGCGGGATCGACAAGACCACCGTCCACAAAACTCGTTTAATTCCCGGAACGCATTTAAATATATATAATAAACGTACCTATGTATGTATGTGTGTTATATACCCGACGTTGCCCCCCCCCCGTCCGCTGCCACCCGACAACCCATCGCCGTCCATCTCGTCGACGTTCATATCTAACCGGCGTACCGTTTCTCGTTTTTTTAACCCCTCGGTCGCCCGCCGCCGCACTACCACGTATTATAAATACCTATATATTACGTATATAATATTATATTATCGTACCTATACGGAATAATATATTTTCGTTCGTCCATGCACACAGGCGGTTTTTCAAGAAAACGAATTATAATTATTCATCGTCGTTTACGCGTATAATATATAATATTATAATATACGTCTTCTTCGCCGCGTTTAACTCGGTCATCGCCGCCGCCGCGAATCGTCAGCCGCGGTTATAATGATATATTATTGTAATAGGCATATTATTATTTAGTAATATACGCCGGCGGCTGAGCAGTGAGCACAGGCGCAAATGGTAAACGTACCGGATTCATCCCGTCGAAAAATTGAGATTACGTTTCGTCTACGATAGATATTAAGGTGGGGAATTTAGTACCCGGGAATTATTAGCTGTTTGGTCCCTTTGGTTTTGATATTATACTGCAGGTCACATGGTGTAACTTGATAAAATAATAATGAAAAATATAATTGAATCTAGATTAACCAGGGCTTGCAAACTTTATAGTAACGTTATGATTATAACGTTATATTTTACATAAAACGATTGAAATTTGTTAACTTTATTTAACTTAAAGCAATAAAAAAAAAAATTAAATACCGTAAAACAAAACATATAACGATAAACAAAATATATTATATATCAATATATCATTAAACAAAGCATAAAGCAAAACGTAATTTATAGAATTTCATTGAACAAATAATAACGTAAAAAGAAATCGTTTAAAATCCAATTAGTTAAAAGTTATATTGGTTTAGTAGAAAATAAAAATATTTATTTCATACATTCGGTCAAAACAATTGATTATATTATTATAATCCGAATCCGAGCCATTATCTATCCGCATTAGTTATTATTTTTAAATTTAATAGGTATTAACATTTAACACTATTCTAAATAACGATGAACGCAAAATTTGTATAATGTTTTAACTCTAAATGACGATAAATGCAAAACTGGTACAACGTAATTCTGAATAATGATACACGCAAAAATTGTGTAATGTTTTAATTGTAAATAACATAAAATGGAATTTTTTTTCAAATGCAAGCCCTGATAAACGTATGAATATATTACATATTTAAATAAAAGTTTGTACTGTCAACATTTTTCTAAAAATTAGATTTACAAATTTGATATTTTGAATTTTTCTAAACTTTTAACTTACTGAACTTTTAACGAGATCGTGTATAAACTAAATATATAATAAAATATTGAAGAATTATGAGTACAATTATTATTTTATTTATCAGGTCATTCTGTTACTCCTTGTATACAAAGCTATCTGAAAATCCCGGTTAAGGATATAATGTAGGTAATACTATAGGGATATTATTTAGAATAATTGAATCATCTATTATAGCTCACATACATGTCTAACTACTCCAGTACTCCACGTGAAATCTTTATTATATTAGTACATTTTTAAGACATTTAATTTATGACTTATGAGTTAGGAATATATTAAATCAGAAAAAATCTAACTTGGCAAAGAAATAATGAATTAATATTGAATTAATTTCCAAACTTAAAATTATTATCTTAATAATTAAATACTACTGAAGAAATTAATAAAAATAATGATTTATAATAGTCCGGAGACCCACATCTGATAATCATTATATTATAGAGCAGTGAACACTAATTGTCATATTTTATTATTTACTGTGGACAAAACGTACTTCAGCCTAACTAATTTTTTTGACGCGAACGAAACATCCTAGATTCGGGGTACATGTACATGGAGGGTTCGATTCTTCTTAAGCCATTTTACTTCATAGATCCGACGTTTATTTAATTTAGTATATTCGATATTATTGAGTTATAGTAATTTTATGATATCAACTTTTTATATTTTATGAATGCAAATAATATTAGATTGCGTAGACGCGTAGTTATAGTATTATAATATTATGATTGCTTATATTATTATTAACATTCATTATGCGTATAACTATGCATAACATATAGGGGATGGGGGCGAAACTTAGCATTTTAATCTTAAACCTATATTGTTGAGGCTGTTGAGCTCAAGTCATACAATATGCATTTTTGGAGCATACCTACATTAAACAGCAGCAGAAAATAATACATGATACCGTACACGCACTATATTATCGACAACGGCCGTCACCGTTACACGAAAGCGCCGTTTACCCGATCGTGGTTTTTACCTTTTCCTCCACTGCCTCCGTCGCGTGCGTTTTCTGCGTTTTTAATTAAAAAAAAAATCGAGCACGACCGTCGCTGTCGCGTGTGTGCAGTCTCTGAGTTTTCGCGACCTATGTCGTAGTTTTTTTCCTCCGTCGCATAGGTACTGTACTTGTGTTGTGGCCGTTAATTGTATAGATCTTTCTTCTGCACACAACGTTTGTCGTGTCGTTGTCGTCGTCGGCGTACAATACGCGTAGCGATCATATATGTAATAGTAATACATTATTTTTTCGTATCGAAATTTTCTCTTCCGGCACCGTCGGGGGCCACCGGCGCGCACCGTGCTTTATACCGTCCACGGCTCGTGCCGTGTATACAATATACATATACAAATATTATACATCAAATGCGCAGAGGGGCAACAGGGTTTTCGTGTCTAAAACGCGCCCCGCTAACTCGTAGATCCGCGAGTGACTGAGAGAAAAAACCGGGGGTCACGATCTTCGTATTTATTATATTATTATATTATGTACTTATACATACATATATATAGCT